CCATCTTTTAAAGCTTTGTAATTTTCATCATAGAGGTCTTCCATATCTTTGGTTAGGTTAATTCGAAGATATTTAAGATTCTTTTTTACTGTCCTATTTTATTTTTTTTTATTTTGACGATGTTTACATAGTTGATCAAGGTGGGAAGGTTTGAGGATCAGGGAAAGTGTCAAGGATCAGCGGGAAGTGGACAAGACCAATGTTTGCACATTTTCTTTTTCTTCTTCCTGTGTCTGGGGGAGGGGATACAATGGGAGAGAACGCGCCCAGCCTCCCCAGTACCCAGTGTCATCCCAGGGCCCCCATTGTGGAGCATGTTCTGAGGGTTCTGCTCAAGTGGTTTTGATAATTCTGAGATGCTGTTGCTATCACTGCTCCAAGGATGAGGAAATCCTTCCAAGGTCGGATGGCTGACATAGTCTACCTCAGAGTCTCCTTTGACCCAGGAGTTTGCTGTTAAGCTTCACTGGAGTAGTTGATCAATTTGTTCTGTCTGCCTTCCTTTGCAAACCGATGAGTACCGTAACACAGCCCAACCCTGCCTACCACACACTTGACCCTCATATACACCAGGGGAAGCTATAGCCCAGTCACAGGGACCCCCCAACAACCCCCATTAGGCTGGCCCCCAACTCTGGCTCCTGTGCCTGCCAACATGTGAAGTGAACTGGTCTGGTATAGCCCACATTCCATTCAACTCTCGCACTCATTGTTGGGCATTGTAGCCTAACTCAACCCAACTGACTCCACCCTCCAGCCCACACTCATGCCAGTGGGTGCCACCGTCTGTCCAGCCAGGCCCACCACAATTTGTGGTTCTCATGCTTACTAGTGGGAGTTGCAGCCCATCAGAGCGGTACCCACAGCCTCCCTACTAAATCCACTCCCTACTCTGTTGTACTCTCCAGGTGGTTCTGCAGTCTAGCCTGATAGGACTTGTTTCCAAGTCCCAGCACTTGCCAGCTGATGCTGTGGCAAAGCCCAACCCACCTGCCCTTACTCCAGCTCATGCCTGTACAGTGGATACAGTCGGTCAGCCCAACATGATCTTCTCCTAATCCAGTTCACATGTACGTCAACGGATGTTATAGCCCATCCCAGCCTGGTCTGCCCCCACTCTCAGTTCTCATGATCAGCAGCAGGATCCCAGCAGTGGGAGTCCCCACTATTCTTTTACTGGGCTCACACACCTTCCCACCCCAATCTTGGGTGTGTTGGTGAATATTGTGGCCTAGTCTGGTATGGCCTGTTTCACCTCAGCATTTGCCGGTGGTTGTTGTAACCTGGCTTGGCCTGGTCTGCCCTCATTCTAGCTCATGCTGATGCATGCTGCAGCCCAATCTGGCACAGTCAGCCCCCAGTTCCAGTCCTAATGTGACCTGGCTGGTGATGCAGCCATATCCAGTCTGTCCTGCACCAAATTCTGGTTCTCAGACCTGCCAGTGGGTGTTATGAACTGGTGAAGCCTGGCCTGCCCCCAGACTTGAGGCACATGTGTGCCAGCAGGTACTGTACCCTGATCTGGGCTGTTCCTTGCCGTGATTCTTGTGCTCACCTGCAGGAATTACACCCTAATAAAGGAGTTCCCCAAACTCCCCAAACTCCTTATTGGCTCTCCTCCCAGTGGTAGATCTCACGCACACTGGTGGGTCCTTGACCCAGGCTGACTTAGTCTACCTTCTAACTTGGCAGGAACATTAGCTTTGCCCAACTGGCCTGCACCCAATCTGGTTCTTACTGTTGGGTGTTACAGCCCAGCCACATCTATTCCACATCCTGATGCATCTCTCACATGGCCCAATGGGAGCCAAAATCTAGCCCAGCCCATCCCGCACCATCTCTGATTCTCATGAGCACTAGTGGGTGTTGGAGTCTAGCTCAGTCTGGCACACTCCAGATCCAGTCCACACCATTGCCAAGGGACACTATAGCCATTTCCAGCCTGGACCACATGTCTATTCCAGTTCTCACACTCACCAGTGGGAACCACAATCCCTAGCTGGGCTGTCCCCTTAGCTCCCCAATTAGGCCTGTTGCCAGTCCCAACTTTCGCTAGTGTATGCTGTAGCCTAGCCTTGCCCCCATCCCTGGCTTTCCTGTAAACCAGTAGGTATGAATGCCTAGCCTAGCTCTACATGGCCCACTCCCTGCCCTGGCTCTTGCACATGCCAGTGTGCTATGGTTTGGACTAGCCTTGCCTGACCTGTCCCACCGAGACAACCCACACATCTGCTGACATGTGAAGCAGTCCTGCCCAGCCTGACCAACTCTGATTCACGTGCTCACCAGCTGGTGCTATGGTCCACTAAGGAGTTCCCCAAGTTCCCCCAACAGGCCCACTCCCAGACCCCAATCTCACACATGCCAATGGGTGGTAGTCCCTATCTGGCACAGTCTGCCCCACAGTGTCAGCTTTTGTGTATGCTGGTGGATGTTGCCTAGTCCCGCCAGTCACCACTTCCAGCTCTTAAGCAAACCGTCTGTTATTGCAGTTCAATTGAGTTGAGCCCACAAATTCCCCACAGAATCTGCTGCCAGACCCAGTTCTTTTACATGCTATTAGTGTTTTGGACCAACCTAACATGGTTCAACCCTTGCCCTGACATTCACTGGTGGATACTGTGGTCAAGCCCTACCAGGCAGCTCCTCGAGCCCTAGCATTCATGTGTATGGGAGAATGGTGGCTGATACCAACAAGCCCAGTTCAGGACTCCCACGTGGGTGGGTATATTAATTTGGCCTCAAAAAGGTCTTCTAGTTTCCCTCCTCTGAACTACCCGGTCTCAGCCCCTCTGTTATCTGTAAGTGCTGTGGCCTGGTTGGTGGAAATTCCCCAGAAGTCACTCCTTACCTGTCACATTCTCCCTCCGCAGTCCTTCTTCCCTCCCACACATCCCCATTTTCCCTTCCTGGAGCAATCCACAGCCCCCAATGCCTGTGGGCTTGCAGATCTTCAAGTCCAGTCCTCTGATGGCATGTTGTGCTGGCCTGAGGCCCTGCCTGCCTACCTGGGGCCTACACATGCTCACACACATGACCCCAAACCCTGCCTGCTGGCATGCCAGTGTCTGCTCCCAAAATATCCTTAAAAAATGGAATACACAACTATGTTTGCACACTGGTATAGTTAACACAAATTTGGCATTAACTAGGCTCAGAATGTCTACCAGCTATTGGTTGTTTTTCTTCCAGATGTGTTAACACTTGCCTAGGTACAAGGCAACCTAGGCAGTTGCCTACAACTGGGGTTCAGGGAATTCTACCTGAATGTGATAGAAAGGACCTTTCTCTGATGGAACTCAATAAGAGGATACAGATAAGAGCCTGATAAACACTCAACAAGGAAGGCGTTTCAGAGAGCAACAAAGGAAAGGAGGGCTCAACAGGTGCGTGCACAGAGGTTTGCATTACTCAGCTTAGGTTCATGTGACTAGGGTCCCCCCTCCCAATAGCTAAGAGCAAAGAGAATAAAATAGAGAGAAGACAGCTGGCACTTGAGAATCTCAACAACAAGTGGTACAAGGAGAGGAAGAGTGGGAAGCACTGGTTTGGCTGGTATGCGAGGAGTGAGCCAACATCTCTTTATCTCTGTTTCTCTACTTTTCAAATAAACTTTTGAAAAACTTCAGCTGTAGAGGCAGACGACAGGCCATCCATGTCCACGGTGCCATGCCTGGGGTTGGGTCCCACCTTTGCTCCTGACTACAGCTCTCGGGAAGCAGCGGTGGTGGCTCAAGCTATAGGAATTCTGCCAGTCATGTGGGAGACCTGGATTCACTTCTGGGCTTTCAACTTGCGACCTAGTTTTGGGTCATACTGAACATTTGATAAGCCACCAGATGGGGAGTCAATTGACTTTTCTTTCATTGTTTCTCTCCTACTCAAAAGTAGCGTAAAAATTGGGGAGCTCCTGATTAAAGCTTATGCATTGAATATATCATGGTATGAGAGAATATGGGAAAATAAGGCATGATGAGAACATCTTAAAATACACAAGTCTAAGCATTTCAAAGGAAGAGTGAACTTAGAAATGGAGTGGTTAATAATGTTGAAAGCTGCTTTAAAACTGATTGCAGAGAATAGACTAGATGTAGGAATTCTGAGATCCCTCTTAGTATCTAAGTAAGAGGTAAATGTGAGCTGCAGCTGCAAGACCAGCCAGAAAAATACATACTTCGCTATATTTAGGAGGTTTTATGTGTTGTGTAAGAATTAAAGTCTAGACACCATAGCCACATCTTCTAATTCTTGTGTTCAGATATTATTTCTTCGTGTAGTTTTAACATAACCCACATGCCCCTTTGTGGGATGTTGCTTTGGTGTTGTCACATGCTCTGTTAGGAATTTAGATCTCTTTTCTCATTTTATTTATCTTGTGCTGACTTGTAAGGCCCCTAAACTTTTTCCTCATCTTCTGTGGCCTTTTGTAATCACCCCTTTGTGCATCCGTCTTCCACTGTGCCTTCCATGCTAGCTCTTTTCTCAGTGATTTAAGGCCCTTGTGTACAGTAAGAATTACATACCACTGCAAGCTGCTTCTGAATTTCCTCCTGGTTCTGGTTTGCAGCCTAATTCTCATATTTTCCAAGTTATGAACTTAAAATTTTGAATATAAAGATACATTTATTGTGGCTCAAAATTTTTTGAGATCCATGCAATCTTATTTTTCTTCACCTTTTCCACTAACTTTTAGAAAATTTGTGTTAAAATATTTTAACAGACATACAGAAATCACACATATTTAAGGGGTGTCATATCTAGGCCACAAGCAGGGAGCTAGAAGGGAAATGGAACAGCCAGAACACAAACTAATCCCTATGCTGGTTTCGAAGGTGGAGGGTTAGCCAGCTAAGCCTTTGTGTTAACCTCCATCCTTCTTAAAGATTACAACTTTATGTGCTGTAAAAATGTTTTCTCTAGTTTCTTGATCTTTTTTTTTTCTTATAAAATTATAGCATATATTGAATGTCTGCTGAGCTTCTGGGCTTGTTCCTGGCGTGATGCACTCAGGTTCTTGAGGCCCAGAGTTGACCTTATCCTCAAATTCCAGTCTGCAAAGACACCATTATAAAAATAGAGTGGTTTTAATCTACATATGCTAAGGGCAGGGGACAGCTGAGGATAAATTTAAAACTTTCTATTTTAACATAAGATGTGAACAGTAGAGATGGGAGCGGCAGAGGCATGGGGACTATAAATCACTTTACAATTTTTGTTTTGTAAATATCAAGCTATTCCCATATTAAAAGTTTCAAAGACATGTTATTTCAATGATCTCTGTCATTCTCCCTTGCCTCTGGGACCCCCAAGACTCCATCCCTGCTCCCCAGGCTAGAACCATTTCTGGGGAGGCTGCCTTCCTGCAGAGTCACAGTTTTTCCTCAGAGAAAACAAGGATAACACACAGCTAATAGTGGAGATTAAGTTCTAGTCACTGTGTTACGTATTCTAGATGCAGTGATCTTCATGCAACCACAGATGTAAATACGTGCACTTTAGCTTTTCATAGGTGAGAAAACTGAATTAGAGAAAAATCATAAATCTCAACCAGGATCTGTAGTAAGAGGCAAAAACAAAATTTGAATGCAAACAGTTGACTCCAGAAAGCACCTTTCCATTCCTTTGCTATCTGTTTTGCAGATTAGTAAATACTGCAATAATGAATAACTTCTCCAAATTGAGAAACCTGGATGAACACAGTTTTCCTTGACATTAACAAAGCTAATGGCTCCCCGGCTTAAGAATCAAAATCAAGGCTCAGAGCTGTTGGGCACATGGCTTGCTTTCAGAGAGGTCTGCCTGAGACTGGAGCCTGGGTGTGGACAGAGGCAGAAGGAGCACCCAGGGAGGACTCCTGGGCACACCTCCCTGATCCCTTCTCCCTCCCTGATCCATTCTCCCTGTGTCTCCCAGCTGTGCCACAGGTCACCGTGTACCCTGCCAAGCCCCAGCCCCTGCAGCACCACAACCTCCAGGTGTGCGCAGTGAGTGGCTTCTACCCACGCAGCATCCAGGTGCGATGGTTCCGCAATGAGGAGGAAGAGGAGGCTGGTGTGGTGTCCACAGGCCTGATCTGGAATGGAGACTGGACGTTCCAGACCCTGGTGATGCTGGAGACGGTTCCTGAGAGTGGAGAGGTTTATAGCTGTCATGTGGAGCACCCGAGCGTGAGCAGCCCTGTCATTGTGGAATGGAGTGAGCAGCTTCCTGACCCATGAACCTCTCTTCCAGGAAGGAACTGTGCTTGTCTCTAAGTGTCTGTTCTTCTCTCCTGGTGCCATATTTTCATCTGTTCCATTCTCTCTTTGTTTTAGCACAGATTACTGAGGTTAACCTTGTATAATTGCTACAGACACCTCTACCCCTGGGGAGTGGCTATGCCTGTCAGGTCATGGTTAGCCCTGGCTCTAGGCCTCCCATCCCTGCCTCTGGGGCTGGGCTTGTGTTTCTGGTTCTCCTGCTCTGAGGATCACTGAGATCTGAGGAGAGGGGCAAGGTAGGGGCTTCCTGTTGGAGAGGCCCCCGGTTTCAGCTCTGCCTTCCATCAGCTCTGCCAGCTGGACAAGCCCCCATTCCACCTTCCCAGAGCCCCAGAGTCCTCACACACCAGCTGTCATCTCAGGGTTCTGATGTTCAGTGTGTTGCATGCTTGAGGCTTGTAGATGTTCAGTGTGATTTTTTTTAAAGATTTATTTTTATTATTTTTTTTATTGGAAAGGCGAATAGAGCGGAGAGACAGAGAGGAAGATCTTCTGTCCGATGATTCACTCCCCAAGTGAGCACAGTGGCCGGTGCTGCACTGATCTGAAGCCAGGAGCCTCTTCCGGGTCTCCCACGCGGGTGCAGGGTCCCAAAGCTTTGGGCCGTCCTCGACTGCTTTCCCGGGCCACAGGCAGGGAGCTGGATGGGAAGCGGGGCAGCCGGGATAGAATCGGCGCCCATATGGGATCCCGGGCGTGCAAGGGGAGGACCTTAACCACTACACCACCGCGCCGGGTCCTCAGTGTGATTTTTAAGTACCTTTTTCAGAAAAGGCAAATTCTGTTCCTTTCAGTAGAGATGTCTTATTGCAGTGTCAAATCTGTGAATCTCAGGGTTTCATGAAAGAAGCTTGAATTTCAGTAAACTCACCAAATTTGGCTATTTTTTTTTTTTCAGGGGCAGACACTGATTCTATGAAGACCAAGATGATAGGTAGAATTGGGGGCTTGGTGCTGGGGCTGTTCTCCCTGGGGCTGAACTGTCCATCAAGGCAGGATTCAACAGAGATAAGAACTTGGTAGAGCTGACTGGCAGTGTGTTTCTCCCGGCTAATCTTCCTTCTAGTGTGGGTATCTCAAATGGATGCAGTTCATATGCTGCTCCTATCCAGTGCCTGGGAAAGTAGTGGAAAATGGCTTAAAGTTCTTGGGCCTCTACACCCACACAGGAGACCTGGAAGAACCTCCTGGCTCCAGATCAGCTCAGCTCTGGTCAATGTGGCCATTTGGGGAGTGAACCAGCAGATGAAAGATCCTTTTCTCTGTAAATCTGTCTTCCAAATAAAAATAAAGAAATGCTTTTTATTTTTCTTTAAAAGAACTGAGTCTCTCCATGGATGGAACCTGAGTCTCTCCATAGACTTATGAGGGGAGACCTTTACTTTTTTTACATATGTTATCTATTTGTCAGCTGACTTGTACAATTGGCTTTCTTTTCCTACAATTATAATTTCAATCCTTGATCTGTTCCCCTGTTGCACAGCAAGGTCATTAGTGACATCAGAACAGTTGCAGGAGGTGTGTGTGTGTGTGTGTGTGTGTGTGTGTGTGTGTAGCTGGGAAGTTGTCCCTTGCTTCTCTGGCACCCCATGTGATCACAGGTAGGGCTTCCTATAGCTGCGAGTTGACATGGAGCTGTGTGTGCATCTCATGCCCAGGCCTCCGGGTGACTCACAGCACTCTATCCCCTCTAGGGACTGGTCACTGATACTCTTTCTTTGGGAATGTAGGAGATGGACAAGTGGGTTTCAGTTAATCAAGGTAAGTCTTTTAAGGTCATTTGGCCTCAGTCTGTGATTATTTTGTCCTGGTTTTTGTAGATTTTTATCATCAGACCATGTAAGTTTTGAGGAACAACAGATTTTATAGTTTTTGCAATATTTTATCATTAAATATGGTACCTAATTGCTTCTTCTGAGTTTTTCTTTAAATTCTCCTAATAACCCTGTGTGATAAACAATAACATCCATATTCTCATGAGGAATCAGAAGCTTAGATGTGGCGAAGGCACAGCTGGAGGGTGATAGAGCCAGGATGAGATCCAAGGCCAACACGTCTCAGCAGCACTTGCCAGTCTACCACACTTACAAAGGTAATTCATTTTTCTAGGTTCTGGTCACCATCTTACAGATAAAAATCATCATATTGTCACAATCAAGGGAGCAATAGCTCATTGTGTTTCTAATATGCTTTCCTCTCATTTTAATGTAACATCTTATCTTTCTACCCGTTACTATATTCCCATTCAATGGCACATTTCAGGATCTAAGATGGTTCCAGTAATAAGTTGGACTCCTTTTTTGGTCATGAAATAGGTGCTCAAGACTATGTTTTTTGAAATATTTATTTTTCTTTTTATTGGAAAGGCAGATTAGATTTATGGAGAGGAGAGATGGAGACAAAGATTTTCCATCTACTGGTTCACTCCCCAAATGGCCACATCGACTAGAGCCGAGCTGGTCTGAAGTCAGGAGCCAGGAGTTTCTTCCAGGTATCCCAGGGCTGCAGGATCCCAAGGCATTTACAGACCGTAAGCCAGGAAGTGAATAGGAAGTGGAGCAATTGGGACACAAACCAGCCCCCTTATGGAATCCCAGTGCTTATAAGGTGAGGATTTATCCACTGAGCCATTGCACCAGACCTGAGACTATGTTTTATGGAATGGATAATGCCAACTTTCAATGTTTTGTTTCGTTTTTCATTAATGTTGGAGTGATTACTGTTGATATGTAAATCCTATAATGTGAATGGGCTCTCTTCTCATTTGCTCCTCATCCCACTACTATATTCTCCCCCTTCTCTGTCTTACTCATTACGGAGGCCAAACTCCAGGCTTTGGGGTTTATCCTACTGAAGACACACATAGTTTGTTGACTTGGAGATTTACGAACTGGAAGGAGATGCTGAACACACTGCTCAGCAGCGATCACCAAACAATTGCGCTCTGCTGTCAAATTCACTGAGAAGATTAAATCTCAGCAGCAGGGATGTGTTCAGATGGAACCACACATGCTCTAATGAACCTGGATATTTCTGATGAATTTCAGAGTATATAAAATATTTTGAATTTTCAGGCATTTCTTGGTGGAAGGATCACATCCATTCCTCAAATCTTTTCCCCCAACTTCCCCACCCCAGACTGTCTCGGATACTAAATTCATCAAAATAGTTTATTATATTTAGAAAAGAATTACAGTTGTGAGAAAGCCTAAGCAGTAAGTACACAGAACATGATCTCATGAAATGCTGAAAAGGTTCCGTAGCAGTGGAAGAATCTCCTGGGGTTTATTACAGAGGCATTACTTAGTGATGATAAAATGATAGGAAACAGGAGGTGATAAACAGGCAGGGCCAACTAGAAGTTACACAAAGGAGGGATGAGGGAAGGCATTGGGGCCTTTATGGTGGAAAACACTGCAGATCTGTCAAGTTCATGGTTCAGATTTTAATTCTCAATCTTCTCTCTTAGAAAGGTCATCTCCTATAATCAGATACACACAGTTACAAAAATGCTTCAGATGAATATTCCAAGCTTTTTCATTTAATTCTTTCCTCTGATCTTTCCCTCTACCCCCCCTTTTTTTTAGAGCTCTTATCAGTTTATAGGCAGGACAGGAACAACACGGTCTCAGTCATTTCCATTGCATGCGGTGAGATGGCCTCTAACCTCAGTGATCTAGGCCTGGACATGCTTCTGAGCTGTCGGCCTCCCTCAAGAACTGCAAGCCAGTAGGGTCCCAAACTTGAGGCTTCCTTTCTTACGTCACTGGACTGACTATTCTGAGGTGTAACAGTGGCTTTAACTACTGGAGACAATTCCCAAGACTGAAAGTGCGAACCAGAGACAGGGCCATGGAAGGAAATAAAGGACTGTGAAGCTTCGGGATCCCAGATGATTCCAATATCTGCCATTCCAGCAAAAGAGAAATATACTTCCGACATCTCTTTCTTTAAAGTATCACACATCCTTTCCCTGCACTATTGTGCTCCCTCCAGTACTTGCATACATACCTACCCACCTCCATGTGCCTCACAGGGCCCCTCGGCGTTCTGCGGCATTGCCCTGGCGCATGCCCTTGATGATGAAGATGGTCCCAACAATGATGCCCACCAGACCCACGACCAGACCAAGGGCACACACCACGTTCTCTTTAGTCTCTGGGAGGGGGGTTCGAGGCTCAAATTCTGGAGAAAAATAAAACAGAGTGCGTGGTGAAGAATGTGGGTAGGGAACAGCGTTGAGAGCAAAAGTACTAAAACAGGACAAGAATTACTGAAAGAGTGAAAAAGAGGAATGCATAAAATATGCTTAGGGAGTTGTGGTTAAAAGTAAAGGCAGCTGGGTAATGAGAGAAGACAGGCATGGAAGTGTTGCAGACTTCACGAAATGGGACATCCTGTATCCAGGGGTCAACACACAAGGAAGAAGTTGTCCAAGAAAGGGACCCTAAGGATGGTCCGTACCCCAGTGCTTGACGATTGGCTCCTTCAACCCCCAGTGCTCCACTTTGCAGTCGTAGAAGTCCTCGGCTTTGGGCAGGAAGGGCAGATAGTGGAATTTGCGGAAAAGATGGTCATCCCTGGGCAGAAAGACTGTTTCTGACACTCCAACAGTGACAGGGTTTCCGTTTTTAAGCCATGTGACCTTCATCACAGGTGGGGAGAACTTGTCAATGAAGCAGATGAGGACGTTGGGCTCTCCCAGCTCCACTGGGCTGCTAGGGAGCAGAGTTACCTCTGGAGGAACTGAGGGAAACACGGCAGAAATTAACATTTGCTGTTCAGACATGCCACTCTCCCTCCCCTCTGTGAGCTGTGAAACAGGCCTGTCTACAGATGCTAAAGCTGAGGAAGTTTTAGTTGTAGGGCGGTTGCTGCTCTGAGAGGTCTATGCCACTTACTTAACTTGGACACCCTGCGGAAGCAATTGGAGCCAAGATTGGGAAATCGAATGGCCAAGCCACTCATTCCTCAAGCAAAGCAGCGACTTTGAGAGTATTCAGGGATGGCTGAGACAAGATCTGAGCACACTAGTAAAGGAACACACCCTTCAACTTCCCAGGCCTGCAGCATTAGAATTAGGGGCTTGCTTGTGGCAAGCTGAAGCTCCTGCGACAGAGCGAAAACATCTAGTCTAGTCATGCACTCTTGTGCTCAGGAGTGTAACACAGAGAGAGGTACCGCTGGAGTCTGGGGTGTTGTTGGAGCGCTTCATCATGACTTCCAGGTTGGCTTTGTCCACAGCTATGTTGGCCAGCGCACCCTGAGCCTCAAAGCTGGCAAACTGTCCAAATTCAGAAAGCCGCCAGACGGTCTCTTTCTTCCCCAGGTCCACATGGAAAATCTCATCACCATCAAAGTCAAACATATACTCTCCTGAATCACCAGGTGACATGTAGTACTCAGCTTGGATGATCACGTGTTCCTCTGAAATGACAGGAGAGAGTTAGGGAGGGGTCAAGAGAGGGAGATGAAGAACCCGCATCATGAAGGGAGGAAGTGGCGGGGATGGAAAGGACCAAGATTCGTGGAGTGGTGGACGGATATGCCAAGTGGAAGGGTGAAGTTTGGTTCAGCTGTGTTGAACAAGCTGGGAGCGAAAAGCACCGTGTTAGAGATGGCGATTTGAATGAGATGAGGGCCGGGAAGGCACAGCCTTGCTAACATGTTTGGTTCCCAGTTGATTCTCCTTTTTTTTGTTTTTGAGGGACCCTAAAAGGGAAATGGCCTCTCATTCTTGATGCCCGGGCATTAAACAAGCTGAAGTCAGGATTCCAAGGTGTCACTGTCTCAGAAACACTGCTCCAAAGGGTGGTTTCTGAACTCTGGAATACAGACTACTCAAACACAATCTTGAATTCCTATGTAGCTCCTTAGTAGACTTGAACAAATTATTCTGTCGACATGTATGCAATTTTTCTGTTACAGAGCTGCTGTGGTCTTGATTTTACCATAGGTTTGTTTTTAAGATTCAAAGAGAAAGGAAAATAATTTCTTAGTATATCATCAGGCCTGTACCAAGC